ATGAATCTTGAAAACATGCTAAGAAGCCAGAAACAAAAGGGCAAATACTGCATAATTACATTTATATTAAATGTCCAGAATAGGCAAATCTACAGAAAGAAGATTAAGGGTTGCCAAGGGCTGGGTCACAGGATGAATGAGAAATGACTGCTAATGGGTATGGAGTTTCTTCTGAGGGGTAATGAAAGAGTTCTATAATAAGATATTGACGTTTGCACAATCTTGTGAATAAACTAAAAACCACTGAATTGTATACTTTAAAGGAGTGAATTTTATGGCATGTGAATTATATCTCAATTTAAAAAAAGAAAAATTCAGGATACAGAGCATTGTACTTGGGATACTTCCTATATACAAGAGACATTAATAGGAACTAATAGTTCACAATGAAATTATCCCAAAAGTAATGGGCAAGTGTAAGAAATAGTTTTTAAAAAACTGTTTTAATATTGCGAGTAGAAGATAATCTGGAGGGTAGTGATGGTAAATTTTCAACTTCAAACTACAAAAAAATAAAAGCTTTGTTTATTCACATCCACCCAATATCTAGATTCCATACAGCAAATGGGTAGGATATAAAGAAAATAAGAATAAATCAAGAAGTTCATGGGCCGGCCGAGTGGCGCGATGGTTAAGAACTCGCTTGGGATGCCAGAGGGCCCCGGTTCGGATCCCACATATGAGGGCCAGTGACACTGCCCTCCACAGCTAAGATGCTGAACGACAGCTCAACCTGGAGCTGGGCTGCCATGAGTCGCCGGCGACGGCGTAGGCTGCACTCCCTGTGGCAGTGGGTTGCCATGGGCTACCGTGTGTAGCCAGCAGCCAGCGTGAGCGGCCAGCAGCCGCAGTGAGCGGCCGTCCAGAAGCCGGCGACTGATCTGCCTCGCCAGAGAAGAGCGCAATGATGGTGCCAACTTGGGCCAGTGAAGCAACATCCTCCACAACTAGATTGAAGAACAAAAGGACAGCAACTTGTCTGTTCCCCTTCCCCCAATTCCCCAGCGCTGTTCCCATCCCCCCAATTCCCCAATAAAAATCTTAAAAAAAAAAAAAAAAGAAGTTCAGAGGCCAGCCGAATGGCTCAGTTGGTTAAAAGTTGGCTTAAGAGTGTGGGCTCTGAGCAATAGGGCTGCCGATTCGATTCTCACATGGGCCAGTGACGCTGCGCCCGAGCTGAGCTGCCAACAGGTGGCAGGATGTCTCAGCTGGTGTAACAAGACTGCCTGTTTGATGGTGGGCTATGCCCACCTGCAACTAAGACTGAACTCCGCACCTTGAGCTGAGCTGCCACCTGGATGGCTCATTGGATAGAGCGTGCGCTCTTAACAACAAGGCTGCTGGTTGACTCCTTCATGGGATGGTGGCTACGCCCACCTGTAACTAAGCTTGAACACAGCACCTTGAGCTTAGAGGCCACAAGCTAGGCAACTGGCACCCTCCACAATGAAGACTGAAGAACAACTTGACTGGTCCCCTTCCCCAATTCCCCAACGCTGTTCCCCTCCCCCAATTCCCCAATAAAATCTTTAAGAAAAAACCCCCCAGAAGTTCAGAGGCACATCAAAACAAATCAAGCCCCAAGTGCTGAGCTTCCAGGCTCAGTTTGCAAACCAAGAAAGAAAACCAATTTCATTATTTTATATATACCTTTATCTGCCACAGAAAATACTTTTTGACTGTTTCCAAATACCAAACCCAATCTCTAAAGATGAAAATTTTCCAATACTAAGGGTAGTCAAAGAATATGCCATTGATTTTAGGCAATTCCAAAAACAGGTTTTGTGCAATGGAATAACATACAGCCTCCAAACAAGCTTATATTTAGAAGAAACACTGTCATGGATGACAATATTGACCCTGTAAAAGTTATTTAAAAAGCAATCACTGTCATTATTGTAGAATTCCACAATGGAATCCTTAAATAAAGGAAACGTTACTTTCCTGAGCTACGGGGCGAAATGCGTTGCAAACTGCAAGTTGCCTAACAAAGAGACTCCACTTTGTAACCTACATTAGAAAATCCTACAACCTACATTTGCAAACATATCACCTACACATCCCCTACAAGAATCATGGATTAGTTTAAACAGACAACTCATTCTTGTCCTTTTCCATTTGTGCTCATTTGTTTTTCATGACAGGAATGCCTTTTCCATATTCATCAAAATGAAGCAAAAACCTGCCAATTTCTTCATGAAGCCTTCCTTCATCATCTCAAGAGATTTCTTTCATTTCAAAACACCTCTAGCACTGGCTTGCACCATCGTAAGGCACATTTTGCCTTGTACTGTAACTGAATACACTATATTTTCTCTAAGGACTAAAAGCTCCTGAAGATTAGGGCAGCTTCCCCAAAATCTTTGTTTGCCCACAGTGCTAGGTACAAGGCAGATGCTTAATAAATATTTAAATGAAGTACCTACCTAACTGCCTTTTGTTCCGAAAAACAGCACTACTAAACAAACAAGTAGCTAAGTGATCAGGAAAGTACTCAGAAGTGGCAAGTCCCTATAGACAGTGAACATCTAATTCTCACTCTGGAAGAAATTTCAGGTCATCCTGGGTAGTCCCATAAGGCTAAAAAAAATAGCATTATTCAGATGCTTCCTAAAATTGCTCCAGCTATAAGCACATCTGAGGAAATTAGGTCAAGTTGAAACAATTCTAAGTCAAAAAGACTCATCTTGCTATCCTTCTTCAGTCAAGTCAGAGCTAAGATGAAATCACCACAACTTTCCCCAAATCAGGAAGAGCTTGAGAAGCAGCCAAGCAATAGGTTACATCACACCAGGCAGCAGAGAGAATCTCAATCTTCCTGGAATCTGGACTGATCATCATTGTCCCAGAGGACACCTCAATAATCACCTGATGACCAAATATTCATCTTGATCATAATCACTGTCTGAATCTGCTACTAACTCCAATTCAACTAAAACCTAATAACAGAAACTCCAATACCTCCACCTCTATCTACCTCAACTTCCACAATCTAGATATGGTCTTCCCGCTTCTCTCCGCCAAAAAAGTAGAAGGGAGAATTAGATTTTGGAAATGAGAATTCATTTTTAATCCATACTGCTGTAAGTTAAACATCCATTTAGAAACCAAATGACTGCAAAGCATTAAGATAAATCAGTCAACAGAATCAAATACAAGGTTACTGTTCAGAACCAATCCCATTAAGATAAATGATTACATCTGCTAGTGACAAACAACATACATAGTTGTCATCTGGACTGTATGTAAGAATCATTGCCAGCCCTTTTAAATACAGAAAGTTAACACTACAATTGATTTCCTTAGAATTCTCCTCTCAAAGCACAAAATTACATATAATAAAAGAGAAAATATGAGACCCAATTGATTTTAGTTGGGAGACTATCAACTATATATTACTGCTCAGATTAAAATGCTGCTCTGCACTCTGGACTCTAAATATCTCCTGAACTTTACTACCTTGAAAGTGGAAATTTGGAGTTAAAGGTACGCTTTAAGAAAACTGATCACCAGATTAATATCCTCCTTCAAAAAATGAATCTGAAGTTTGATATTCAATTCAGATTATTTACAGGACTTACTAGTCATTTTAAAAAAACCAAACAAAACCCTGTCAAGCAGTAACTAACCACTAACACTAGCAATGACTAATAAAAACGGGGCCTGAGGCAAAAGGCAAGAATTCAAAGCAAACAATTAAAATAAGATAAACAACCCATCAAAACCATCTAAACTAAAGCAACAGTGACTTAAGAAATCTACAGGATTATAGTCATCAATTTCAAAATCATTTAAAATTGAAAAAGTCCTACTAAAAAAACCCAATCACCAAAAAAGTGAAGCAAATGCTAAAACTAAGAAGTCTTCAAAATAATTTCAGGATTTTATATTAACTCACAATTCTGAAAACTCATAAATTCCACGCTTCTCAAAACTTAAATGCCTTTTATAAGCTCTCTTATATGACTGTTACAAATAATACATAATTCAAAAAGTGCTTAAGCAGACATAACAAACATTTCAGCAAATGTATGATAGGTTTGAAAGAATAAAATGAGCAGAGACAGAGCACAGCAAATAACTGATCCCAAAAGCTGATTCCCGTAGGGTAGCGCTGGGCTTGGATTGGCAAGAGGGAAATTTTACAATATATCCACAAGACAAATTACACCAAAAAACTGACTCATCCTTTTATTATTTACACAAGCATATGTTCTTAAATATACTTTTAACCTTTGGACAAAGTGATATGATCAGATACCTTAAAGCATTGTTGCTTATATTAATGTTGATGTTAGTCTAAATCTTTAAAATCCACATACATTTTTACAACGAAACACTGCAGAAATGGAAAGGCTTATATCCTCTAAGTAAAGGTTACCTTATTTTTGACTTGTTTGAAGTTTCAGTTTTGCTTTATAATCTATTATAGAAAAACATCCCTTGTGGGACATTGTAAAGGGCATACCCTCCTGTCAAGCCAGAAAGCTCAAACACAAAGACACTGAGCGAACCAAGTGCTGTAATTCTTCCAAACTGAGCCTCTCCAACACCCCCTCCACCCTTCCCCCCAACAGATATGTCTATTAAATCAGTGTCTGTTCTCCCCCTCGCACAACAAAGAGAACTTCTCACCGCATGAAATTGCCGCTGAATGGACACCAGAAAGCAGGATTTGCATAATTCCTCCAACGAATCCCTGTCGGGAAGGAGGGGATGAGGGGGCCAAGAGAACGGACAGAATCTCCTACATTCTGTTGGGGAAACCTGGTTCCCAAGACTATTCCCCACGGGTGGGGAGGGGGCTGGAATTCTGGACCTCCCCGAGGACTGGGCGTGGGGGACCGAGGACGACGAGAACGCATTTCCCCACACATCAGCAGCACCGAAGCAAAGATGGGGAAATAACAATACTGGAGGACAGGAGAGTAATAAGACACAAGGATGGACTGGGGCTAGGGGGCGGCGGGCGGAGCGGAGACACCACACGGGCCACTTACTTTTTGGAGGGGGGTTAAATATATGAGTTAAGCCCTTATAGTCCCGCCGGCCGCCGCACAGAGGGAAACGGGACCTTGGGAGAGAAAAACAGACAAAACACATAGTGTAAGAGGCGCAGCTCGGCCCCCCGGCCCCTCCCGGAGCGGCCCCCCGTCCACACTCCCTTCTGCCCACGGGGAAAAAAGCCACCCGGGGCGGCCCAAGGTCCGGGAGGCGGGGGGCGGACTAGGCTCTCGGCGAGGCGGCGGCTCCGGAAAATCCCCCAGGAGGGGACAAGAGCGACGTGTCTTCTCGGTCGGACCCGGTCCCACCCCCCCACCTTCCTCCCCGCCGCGCACACACACCGAACACAAATACACACACACCGACCCGAGCGTCGAGGATTAACTCCCCGGCCGCCGCCGCCGCCGCCCGCAGAGGAAGTGCAGCCGCTGCCCCCCGCGGCCATGACACCCCACTTGGCTTGGTCAGGCGGACCCGGGGCCTGTGACAGCTCCGGCTCCCTCCGCCCCCATCTCCACCTCACGCCTCGCACACGCCCGAACGCCCGGCGCCCGCCGCTGCTGCGCGTGGGGGAGGGGCGGCGCGGGACGGGGAAGGCGCCGGTCAGAGCGGAGGACAGAGCTGAGCCAAAGGCCCAGCACCCGCCCCGGACCCGCGGCGGCGCCCCCAGTCGAGAGGCAGCACCGCGGGGCCAACC